CTTCTTCCCGGAGCAGCTCAGTTCCTTGCGTCACATGGACACTTCGACAAAAGTTCTTATGGTAGAATGCTCGTGTTGCAGTAGTATGCTTTTAAGTCTGAATGTGCAGGAACCTCTCATTGATGTGTGATTGTGGAGTGCAGCCCTTACCCCCCCCCCCCCTCCACCCACCCGCAAGGCCCCGCTTGCCCACGAAACACTGACAGGGGCCTCGCCGTGAGGAGGCGAAGAAGAGGCCATCGGTGAGGGAAGCAATGCCCACGGCCGTGAAGTGGTAGGTGTCGACCAGCAGATCCTCGCCCACTTTCACGCAATTTGGAGCAGCCAAATGGAAAGGCTGACTACAAAATCTGACCTATACCCAAGCTCTGCATTGGCACTGGGATCACAGCATGCCCACACATGCGTCTGCATGTGCCCAGCAACATTATCCATAAATGTGTAATGTGCGCAATTGTTCAAGGATATGCTCTCCACAAACTCCTTCACTCGATCGCATTCGTGACTGTGCTTCCCCTTTCAAACGGCGTTGGAACACTTCGGCCCGCACGTGGCTTCGGCGGCGAGTGCGACTGTTTTCATCCGCCACTCGGCATGAACCGTATGTACCACTACGTATAGGCAGAGGGAAAATCCGCAAGCAAAAGGCGGTAGTGGGCGGGTGGAAAAAATCGGCCCTCGTCTTCAGCCAGAGCTGCGAGCATATTCACATGTGCTCGAAAATGTTGTGCTTCACTACACATGTGTTCAAATCCTGCTGTTGCTTGTTTCACACTCTTACATGTTGGGCAAGTACACGTGACATGTGAAACTGGAACCGACTGTATACAACATTCGACCAGCAAAAGGGCGAGGCGATGCCCAAACGGCAGGATGAGTCTCTCGGCTCGTTGGCTGGATGATTCATTTTTCAGTCGTCTGCATGCATGCCTGGACCTGATCATGTCGGTGTCTGTGACAGCCGGAGCCTCTATCAGCGCTTGTGCACTCATGCACGCTGCATGCACGCATGCCAAAATATGCAGCTCTGCAGCGTAGAAGGCCTGCCATGAGAGAGAGTCGAGTGTGCGTGTGCATGTATGCGGACATGACAGCTCTCACCGCTGATTCTTATGAACAGAAACTGCGAAGATGCACCAACACAAATTGACCCAAAATTTAAACAGACGTGCAGAGGCGCGGTGTCCTGCAGCTTCTCGTCCCATTTGCGAGAAACCATGGCCTGCAGCTGGACCGGAATGTTTTGCACTGTGAAACCAAGAGGCGGCTATAATAAGCAACGGAGTGATATGGAATGTGTGCTGGGTAAAGGAGCCACATTCGAGCCATGCACAATAGCTCCGTAATAAAGCTGCAGCCGGCCTCTATAGCGGGTGCCTCACAAAAACCGCGGCCCCTCAATCCTAGAATCCCATATCGCATGTCATCAGAATGGACCGAAAGCCTTCAAGCCAAGCACAGCAACATGTTGTTGGCTCCTCCCTCTATGCATGCATTGACATGGTGTTATGGTTGCCGTCACCGTCACAGATGCTCTCCTTCATATACGACCTAGTCAGGACCGACCTAGTCACTGTTAGAACGAAACAAAACCGAAGACCGGTGAGAAAGCAAAGAGAGGGCTCGATTCTCTTCCTTCACATGCTATCCAATGCCTGCTGTAAACCTAGATGCTCTGCAGAACCACTCGTTTCAAACTTACCGGGGAGCCGTTGTGCGACAAGTCTGAAGGCTAAACCTACCTCGAAAACACCCATCCGCATTGGCTTCACCCTCGGAAGTTCATCCAGCCCTGCCAAAACCTGGCTGCATCCACAACACGGTCACTTCGCAGGGGCCGGGGGCTCCTGGCAGCTGGCCAACCTCGAGATGGGTTGCTTGTAGCATCTTCATAAGGAGATGTCTTCGGGCTTTGTTCAGGGCTCAAGAAATGAAGTCGCACATCCAAAGAGTAGCAAGCAGAAGCTCCACTGGTGATTTTCTTCTCAAGACTGCTTCTGAGTCATCTACTCCGGCATCTCTCTCGTTCCATATAGCTTCTACATCCATGGCACAAAACTTCAACACCAAGTCAGTCCAGGGTTTGTTGAGCCTTCAAGAGACTTAGACTGCGGTAACATCGTGAGCGCTAGCTCCCGGTGCCGCCCATCCATAATAGGCACCCACAGACCGAGGTGTCAGTGATGCCAACACTCAATCGCTGCAGTCGTCCGTAACCGACACGACCGAGTTCTGAACAGTGTTGCAGCAGGTGCCAGACTGCACACTTTCGTTTGCGCTGTTCTTGAGGATTCGCACTCCTGCTGCGACGTTAAAGCCGAGGCAAAGTGAAGCAAGCGGGACCTCAGGGTCTGCAGAACAGGTCCCGTCGAAGGTGAAGCTGTCGCCGGGGGGGCCTGCCACTTTAAGATTGAAGTTGCCAGTGCCGGGCTGATCACTGCGTTCGACTTCGACCGTGTAGGTGCAAACAGGTGGCTCCACTACCGTCGGGCCGCAGTCACTGCTTACCTGCAGGATGTGGTTCGTGACCCAGTTGCAACAAACACCACTGCCGACAATGTCACCCGTGCTGCTCTTGATGAGGCGGACTCCGGCTGGGACGCTGAAGTTCTGCATGCAAAAGTCGGCCCCGAATGCGTTCTCATTGTAGGTAGTGGAGCAGAATTCGTCGAAGTCTCGCCCAGTCTCAAAGGTGGTCCCCGGAGGTCCAGTCGCGGTCCGACTTTGCCAATGCGTGCTGGCACCTTGATCGCTGCGGCTGATCGAAATCACATAGTTGCAAAGGACTGTAGTGGTAGTCGTGGTCGTAGTGGACGTGGTCTTGGCTGTGGTCTTGTATCCATACTTACCGTACGTGTATGAGTAGGCTCCGTTCTTGCCAGATCCACGACGATGCCAACGACGACGAGGCCTGTTGAGGCCCTCCTTCGAGGCCTTTGAGAGGTCACCGGAGTCCAGCTGCAGCAAAGCGGTCTCGTCCGGCTTCGCGGAACTGCAACCATCGATGCTCGCTGTGGAACATGCTGCGGCCGCTTCTTTAGCACACACCCGGCCAAGCAAAGTGACGACCACAACCGTGGCCCATGAACACATCTGCATGGCGTGACGGGTAAACTCCTAGGTCCCGGTGAACCGCAACAATACTTGAGCCGTGTAGGCCACAGGCTTTGTGAGATGCCCTGATGCTGGAATTCTGCTAAGGTTAAGGTTCACGTTTGCGAGCATGGCCTAGGCCTAGGCTTTGCTGTCATCAAGGCAGGCACCACATTTGCAACAAAGGCCCCTGGATACTTCTGTTCCCAACTGCGACTACTCCAGGTTCTGATGTAGGGACGTGGGGTCTGGTGCCTGAAGCCCTTCAAGGATCGAGCCCTCACTGGCTCACACCATTGGGTAGCACCCTCAACTTCGAGGCTGCCCAACATCGGGGCCCCGACGGTCCCAACCCTGTTTCAAACTGTAAACTGTTCCTGGCTCTTACATTGTGACAGGATGGAGCTCTCCTGGAAACGAGGATTGGGGAATCTGTGCTCTTGATACCTCGCCCCTCCTTCCTCCATTGAAGGGGAGCGGCATGCCCTTCCTTCGGCTTCCGGAATGGCAATCGACGGGCCTTCTGCAGGTCACGCAGCAAGTCTGTGCCAGAGAGCAGTGCCACCTGCCAAGCCAGAGCCGGTGACAATTACGTTGTTTGCGGCTTGGGGTTTAGGGGTTTAAGGGTTTAGGGCCAGGGTTTAGGGGTTTAGGGGTTTAGAGTTTATAGGGGTTCGGCATTTTTTCCAACCCTCTCCGAACGCCCACACCCGGCAGGTCAGGGCACCAGCGCGCAACCCTCAAAACTCAGCCCGAACAGCACACCCTGATGGCTACTGGGTTGACATTACGCCTTGCGAAGACAGGCTCAAGCAGCAAAGCGGTGGCACGAGAGGCCAAAGGCTCCGTTATAGTACATTGTTTGGGATGCTTGGCGGTGTGCTCGTCTGTGAATGCTCATAGCAGTCTCGGGAACAATTTTCAGAAAAAGCTTCACACAGTCGGGAACCGTTCCGAGCCGTTGGATCTGCTCTGAAACGCTCTGCCACATGTCCAGGGCTTGGAGGAACAGATGGGTCCGAGATTAGTGTATAGTTCCTGAGACCACTGCAGCGAGAATCAGAACAGAGACCCTATTCCAAACCACCGGCTAGATAGTACTTTACTATATTATCTTGTATTACGTTCTGTTATGTTATATTACCTGTTGTTCTCTTCCAAGCTCCGTTTTGGGAGGCCATAAAGTGTCACGGTGGGGTCGTCGGGTCAGATGCTTGGCAGCATGAGTGGTATGGTCAACTGCTAGAGCCCCGCGCGATGCGAAGCAGTCGCGATCCAATATAGAGGCTTCCAGTATAGAGACCTTAAACCAATGTGACTAGTGACTAGTGACATGCTCTGATAATCCCGTTGTATTTACACGAAAGTATTAGTATACGGCAAGAGCCACTATATCAGTTGAAAGGTGCAGTCCTTGCAAGCTCGGCTCGTGAAGCTTTGAGAGCTCTTACCTTCGCGAAACTAAAGACCTTCGAGTATCTGTCAACGATTGATATTCACATCACTATCACTCATACTACGATTGCTAGTACTATTAACAGTGCCATTATAATGTCATAGGCTCTTAGGCTCTGGAAGATTTTCACGCCTAAGATCCTCGCGGACGCATGCCTCACTCCTTCGAGGTTAACCTGAGCCTACCAAATGTGCCAAGCCTGTCCACAGGGAACGGCCAAAGCATCAGCGATGCGCAGTCCTTGAGGCAAACTTCTGGTGGGCAACCCTTCTACTAAGCTGAAAAAGCATTGCACGGTAATGGCCCTGAATTTACGATGGCTTACATATCATGCTGACTGAGCACATGCAGGCCTACCGCTGTCGCCTGACGGCCATTCCGCATTCATGCCAAACCATGAGGGGTTGGAGTTGACAAAGACATAAAACAGTAGCAATGGAGCAGCAACGGCAGCAGCAGCCCCAGGCATGCTACTAGTGAGCTGGTGTTTGTGGTAGCGTCTCGTGGCAGTGGTCTCAGTGGCAGCGGTGCATGGTGGTGGAGGGACGTCGTTGCAGTGGTGAAGGCGGTGCTGCCTCGGATGACGACAGTGAAACCTTGTGCCCAGTTGACGTGGCGACAAACACCCCGATTGAACTATCCGAGAAATCCCAACTAACTAGCAACAGCTGGGATCAGCAACAGCATTCATCCTTGTAGCAATGGTCCATGACAGTCAGCATCATCGCTACAGGCAACATTGCCCTAGCCATTAGCACCGTGCATAAGCATCATTCTCGTTGCTGAAGGCACAACCATCATTTTGCAGAACCAACGTCGCGAAACAAGGTGTGGCCCAGTGGCGGAGCTGCGCGATGGTCTCGCCTTCGGCTGGGGAGAGAAAGATGGCATTCCTTTGAACAGTTATATACTGCTTGACGACATGTTGAGCAACGTGAGAGGCTACGGAATCTGAGCCCCGCAGCCTGTCGACTCTCACACACACACAGAGACAGAGACACAGACACACCCAGACACACAGACACACACACACACACTCACACACACACACAGAGACACACACACACACAGAAATTTGGCAAACCAAGCTGATGCAGCAAATCGCCGAAAGCTCCCAAGCCCGGCCCAAGCCCCATCAACACCCTCCAAATCCTGCTCCGAATATTGCAAGCTGCGGGCATTTCCTTTTCCTCGACAGCGCCAGCCGGCCGATAAAGGCCCGCGGTGCAAAGTCGTGCCATGCTGTATAGTAGAAGTTTGAAAGCCCAAAGCGGTCCCAAAAGTCCTGCTTGCGATGAGCACACATGCACAGTCTTGAGGGTGGAGATGGGTGGAGACGGCAGGCTCTACATCAGTCTACATCTTTGCCACGATCAGCGGACCTCTTGGGCTTTCCAGTCGCAAGGTGTACTTGGGAATGGCAACAACTCAAATCCCAAAAAGTGCTTCGAGGAAAGATGCATGTGTATCTAGCCTAGTTCGAGCCCTGCGTTGCCATGTTGCTGGGCATTCCCTTCTTCAAACTCATGACTGACACTGTGGTCAGCGAGATGTTGTTCTTGGATATGACGGTCTGCGGAGTCGCTCCGGAGGGGCACTTCTGCGCATGAGAGATTTCGGTGAGCAAAGCCAAGCTGCTACAAATTCCATCTACGTCAAATATTCGCTTGATTGCCTTGATTGCCAGAAGCTTGCGACCTTTCCGGAGTCGAAAATTGTCGCTCTCTTGCAGCCCGATGGTTAAAC